TAACTCCAGGCAGGTAGTGTCAGGATTGAATTGAATTATAGGACACCCAGTTGGTGTTTGGAGGGCTGCTTGGTGTGGAACAAACCTACATATTTGGTGTCAGAAGCATTTTGTGAGAGTATAGGGGACAAAAAGGATTTTTTAAAAAAGAGATGGGGTCTCACCATGTCGCCCAGGCTGAAGTACAGTGGCTATTCATAGGCATGATCATAGTGTACTTCTCCTTTGAACTCTTGGCCTCAAGCAATCCTCCTGCCTCAGCCTCTAGAATAGCTAGGACTACAGGCACATGCCACAGTGCCCAACTTAAAAAAAAAAGTTGTTTTATTTTACATGACTAATTAGGAGGTCTGGAGTGTGGTATGGCATGTTGTCTGAGGTTCCTGAAGCATCCCTGAATACCTTGCATTAGGTAACCACAGCAAATAGACAAAGAAGAGCCAGACTTTGAGACCTTCCAGAAATTCTCTGGACCAATCTGATTCTGTCATCACTGAATCATACAACTTCAGAAGCTCCAAAAACTGGACCATGAGGTTCCTAACATTCATAACACCATGGCTGGAAAGAATATGATTACTGCACTGACCTTAGCAAGAACCCCTTAATAAGTTTTTTTATGTCTCTATTTTATTAAGCTTTTAATGACTGAAAAAATAAACAGAATTGGCAGATAAGTTCTAGCAGATGCTGATGGTTCCGCCTTTATCCCTTAGGCTTTCACAGTTTAGTGCTCTCCTGCTCTCCCTGCCAGATTTTGCGTCTTTTTCCCTGAGAGTTTCTCTGAAGCCTTTGGAAGTCCACTCTGATAGCAGATGGCAGAAGACTGTTGGGAGATGGTATTAACATCTCAGCTCCCTCGCCTTTCCCCTCTCCCGTATTCTATACCATTTCTCACAATTCTTCTTGGTTTACACATCAGTGTCCCACAGTGGTAACTGGTTTGATTATGCATTCTTTGTTGGTTTCCTTCTTTGCTTCTCCTCTACTGGTATTTTGTTGGTTTTTAACTCTCCAATTTCCAAGTAAACTACCTTAACTCCAATATTTGTTTCGGGATCTGCTTCTGAAGGAACCTAAACTAAGATATAAATTAATCATGTTAATTAATTTTCAGCCTCTCTGGCCTAATGAAATGCATGCTTGCATTTTCTTTACAAAAGATTTTGAAAGCTGTGTGTGTTAAGCCATTTCACATTTATGCTTTGCCGCCAAGAAACCGACAAGAGATGCTCACGATGGGCAAATGTCAGCCCCCGAGGGCACAACTGCAACTGACAAAACTATTTATTGGAGGAATTCTGGCTGTCAGTTCAGATCTCTGTTGATGATCAGAGGAATTCACTCATTCTGCAAATATTTTCTGAGCTCTGCCTCTCTGTAAGAGGCCCAGGCAGCATTGGCCAAGCTAAAACAAATACTGTCTGTTTTCTCTGAGACGTAGCTTTCAGATTACTCTATTAAAAAAAACACTAATGAATCTGTTCAGAATTAATGTTTGAGTTACTGTTGGGCTAGTGATGATTCTCCAAGGGGTGAGGAGGAGATAATAATGACCTTTTTTTTTTTTCTTTTTTAAACTATGAAGGATTTATTTCTGATAATTATAATGGTCTGTCCTTTCCCAAAGAAACAGTCACCACAGTGTGGTGCACATCCCAGGAGGACTGGCACAGAAGCAAAGTTTGCAAACTGCTAG